TGTGTGCGCGCATGTGTGAGAGAGAGATATTGTGTGTTCCCCTGAAAACCAGCACTGAGATGTAATCTTTTTTAATAAGCTGCTTCCCTTGGCTAAACTAAACCACCGTTCTAACTTATACAAACATTTGCTTAATTAAAGTCTGAAACTGTGGATGACAGAGAGTGTATGTGTTCGAGAAGAGCGAGAACCAATAAATGTAACAAGGCAGGGAAATAAAGAGCACTGCATGTGTAAACGGTCAAAGAAATATCCTTTTTTTTAATCATATAATAAATGAAAGTCAAATTTATTTTTAAAATGCATTTAACAGTGCTTTATTATACTTTATAACACATCCAACAGTTGACACTGGCCAAGGTGCTGTTTGAAAGACAGAATGGATAAAAATAAGTAAAATACATGCTAGTAGGTGGTAAATATAAACAGTCATGGCTTACATAGGCACATATAATGACCACAAGAATCAAAAGCCAATGAATAAATATAGGTGTTAAGTCTAGTTTTATCAGTCATTTGAGGGAAATGCTGTTCCACAGTTCAGGGGCAAACACAGAGAGTAGACTGAGCTGGAAGGAGCTAAAACAGGTGAAATATGATCTCTTTTTTTTCGTCTTCTTCTTCGGGTGCCTGTGAGGAGCCTACAACTGACTGAGACCCGTGTAAAGTGATTTGCAGTAGTCCAGGAGGAGGAGATGAGGTCATGAATGACAATCTTGAGATTTCTTATGGAAAGAAAAGGCTTAATTTTCGATATGGAGCTTAGTTGGAAGAAGTTGTTTTTAACCACTGAGTTACTTTGATAACAGGTCTCATTTTTTCCGTGGTAAATGATAAACAGGGATCATGCTTGTCAAAAATGTTGTCATTTGAGTTGTGCATTGATAGATGCACAAAAACACTGAAAAGTTTTCTGGATGAAAAGCTTTATTATTTTTGATTTCCCATATAAAGATTTTAGCGTGAAATGAATGTGAATCTACATGAAACTGTCCCTTAAGCGTGTAGGTCACTAACTGGATAAATTGGAATGGTCTTCGTGTCTTACATAACCATCACTAAGCTCACAAAGCTGGTACTAGCCTACCATTAAATGTTTGTATTGTAAACAATCACTGTGGGCCACTGTATGTGTTCGTGTGTGTGTGGGCCGGTTATTATGGGCTCCTAAATCTGTTTGAACAGTCACGTGATGCAGGCTGGGCTTTCTCAGGGGCCAACATTATCTACGAATTTTCAGGTTAGGACATGTCTTAAGGTTAAGGTAAGGGTAACGGTTAGGCAAGTAGTTGTTATCGTTTACAGTAAGTCACCAGGAAGTGAGTGAGACAACGTAAAGTCCTCTAATGTCATGGCTGCGTAAAGTTCAGTGTGCCCATGTGTCACTTATTGCTTTTTGCAGGTTGCAGAAAACCTGGTGCAGCGAGATGGAGACTTCCTGATCCGTGATTCGCTGTCTTTACCAGGAAGTTACGTTCTCACATGCCAATGGCGAAACACTGCTCAGCACTTTAAAATTAACAAGAAGGTACATATGAGCTTCCAGCTACACTGAGATGAATATTTGACTAGAGTATATAAAAGGTACAATTGCTAGGTCTGTTATTTTGCCTGTCGCCTTCAGGTCGTGATGCTGAATGAAGCTTACTCCAGAGTTGAGTACCGCCTAGACAGAGAAGGGTTCGACAGCATCCCTGCACTCATCAGATACTATGTTGGCAACAGAAAACCTGTCTCACAGGTGGGTTTAGTCACTATTTTTCTTTTAATTAATCTTGCTTCAAAGTTTATTTTATACTGTTATTGTTCTGGTTGGTGGTTTTCCTCATTATAGCACATAAAAGAAAAACTTTCGGCAGTTAATAGTAAGTTGTGTTTAAGTGCTAAGAGTTTCAAGCTTAAAGAGATAAATATAGTCGCAGATAAATAAAATATTTTGAGGTTTCTTTAGGTCACCTTATCTGTTCTTCCACCCACACATTGAAGGTGGTAGGGGCCATCATCTTCCAGCCAATCAACCGAGGGCTGCCGCTGCGCTGCTTAGAGGAAAAGCACGGACTGTCGAGCAGTCACCGGGAGAGGCTGATGTCGCAGGAGAGGCGGAACCAGAAACGCCTCAGCCTCAATATTACCAACGGACACACATACGACAACACACAGGCCATGCACGACAGCACACACTGCCAGGACAATGGCATTGCCCGAGGCAGCCAGCTCAGGTTTGCACTCCAGAAACACACGCAAACACACTAATTAACACCTAAACACTGTAATTCCTCGCTGGCTCTCATAACGTGGTTGTTGTTCCACTGAGCATGTGAGATTTCTTGGATTTGATTAATATAAGCCTATTACTGCAAGTGGATAGTGGGCTACAGACCAAATACCAATCTGTCTGCTGTGTTTGAATAGTAGAGACCCACCTTTGCACAGCCTCCAACTCCACACATCGTTCTGCTTTTAAGGTTTTACTCTTTGCACTGAGCTGTTTACATTCAATCGTTTTGGCTGAAGTTCGCACATACACACGTCCCATACATATCATACGTCCTCTGTAAATGAAGAGCTGTTGCCTGTGTGCAATTTCATTGCACACAAACATTAAACAGGGTTCTGTATCTATCTGAGAGAGGTCAGACCAGCTGTGAGGGGATAATAAATACAGAGCTGAGAGTAAAACAAAACACAGAGATGAGGATATATGGACAGAGAAAAGGCTTTTTAAAAAGTCAAAGAAGGGATGAAAGGATTAGTGTTTATAACGTGATTTACTTTTTTTTTTTTTGAATACTAATGGTACCTTTTTATTATTATATTGGAAATATTTGTAAGAGGTTTTTCCGATGCCCATGTGTGATTAGGATGTTTTTATCGCCCTTCCTCCTCCTTCAGGTTGAAGGATCGCTGCGGCAGCCAACCAGCAAGTCTCAATCAAGTCCAGGAGCGGCGACACCCACTCAAGGCGCACCAATCAGAAAGCTTCCTTCCTCTTGGTAAGTAAAAGCTAGGAGGTTCTGAAAAGCTGTGTGACCTTTGAGGAGAGGCTGAAAGATTTAGTTGTTCCCTTTATTATAATTACACATCTGTATATTAAACACTCAGAGAGAGCGGAGCGTAAAAGCGAAGCTGTCGATTTACCACTCGACCCAAACTCCTCAGCTATGGTAGAGACTGAAAGAATGAGGTCATGGACACGAGCAGCAGAAATGAACTTTCTCCAAAGGGCAGCCGTGCTCTCTGTAAGTCAGAGGTCAGCAACCTGCAGCTCACGAGCCACGGATTACATCTCTCCAATTAACTCTAACAAGTTTAATACATAAACTATATGTACTAATTTATGCTCTTCCAGTTACATCTGTTATACACTCGTATCCACAGTCGCACGTGTCTACCGTTTGTTTTGGGGGGGTTTTCT